ATACCAAGAAAGAAAAGCTTGTAGTTAGTTCAAGGATCGCTGGCCTTTAAGAGTGTTTTCCTGTCCAGTCTGTTGGGGTACCACGCCCTGTCCCCAATGTCCACCCTCATCATTCCCTGGGGATCTTGCCGCTCCCCTCCCCTGCTGTTCGGCTGCACTCCCCCAGTGCTTTGCCTCAGTGTGGCGGGATCAGATCGGGTGCAATCCGCACACTGTGTCTCTGGTGTTGTTCCCCGCGGGGCCATGGGTCAGTGAGGGGCATCACGTCTCATAGTGGGGCTGGCCATGTGGTCCTCTCTGTGGACTGGCTCCCAGCAATCTTTAATATACAAATGAACATACACATATATAACATGATTAATGAGGTAAAACAAAAAACATAGTAGTAAGGGTAGAAAATATAAAGAACTAGAGGATAATTATGTGGTTCATCAGTGCTATACCACACCCTGAATTTTTCATCCCGTCTGTGTGGCCTTTCTTAGAGGGATTGACCAATTATCTTACAGGTGGGTTTTGAGTCTCCACTACATCAACGTCCTTTCACATCTATTTGTTTGCTTCTCCCGTGGAAAACTGACACTTAAGCAGTAATTATTAAACCACACATCTATGGTGAGTTGGTTTCTGACAAGGAGAAGACCTTTCAATAAGTGATGTTAGGAAATTTAGATTTCCACATGAAGAACAATAAAACTGGATCTGTACCTCACACCATGCACAAAAATTAATTCAAAATGGATTAAGGATCTAAATGTGCAAACTGAAACCGTAGAATTATTTGAAAAGAAGCAGGGGCGACACTGTCAGGCCTAGCTTTTGACAATGGATTGATAAATATATAACAAAAGCAGACAACGTAAGACAAAATATATAAATGATACCTCAGGAAAACGAAGAATTTCTTTCCATCAGAAGATTCTACCCAAAAAAGTGAAAAGACATGTTTACCGCCTCACATACTATCTTTGGAAACCATACATCCAAAAAGAATTAAAGAGATACAATAATATAAAACTTCTATAACGTAACAGCCATAAAATGAGTAAAGGCCTTGAATTCACCATTCAACGAGGAAATGTCCGTTCACCCTCGAAATGTCCACCAAACATGAAAATACGTTCCACAGCATTAGCTATCAGAGGCATTCAAATCAAAACCACAAAGAATGCCATTTCACTCCTATTTGGTTGGCAAAGATTTTTACAAAAAAGAAAATAACAATTGTTGCTGAAGATGTAAGGCCCTGGAAACCCTTTCCATTTCTGGGAAGAATGCAGAATTGTATGGTGTTGTGGGAATCAGTGTGATGCTAATTCAACGAGCTAAAACTTGAACTACCATATGACAATAGTTCCATTCTTAAGTATATACACAAAACACAGCAAAGTAGAGACTCAAAATAGTTTGTACAGTATATCAGTGTTCATTGTAGCACTATTCAGAGCCAAAAGGTGGAAACAAATGTTCACAAACAGATGAATGGATAAACACAACATGGTACGTGCATACAGTGGGATGCTACTCCGCCAATAGAAGAAATAAATGTTTGATATATGTTACAATATGGAGGGAGCTTGAAGATATCATGCTGAACAAAGTAAGGCAATCATAAAAGGACAAATACTGTATATCCTCACTTATATAATGTAAAAATAGATAAATGTATAGAGAACAAATTTTACTATGGGGTATCAGGAATGGGAGGGAGACAAAAGGGGAGAAAGGAACTAATAGTGCAGGGGAAAAATTAAGTAAGAGTAGGGTTGCACTGCAAATTCTTATAATTTCTCTCAGTAAGTTATCCAACTGTAAAAAGTATAATAGGCAAAAATTGTGCAACAACAACAAAAAAACAAGCCACTGCCGAAATTGCTTATGTATAACCAAACCAAAAACCTCCTGGGATTTGGTTCCTTGTTGGGAGGTTAAAAGTCATCGTTTCAAGGGGCATCCTAGGTAAGTGGTGTAAGAATGTGCTTAGTGTTTCTCTGCCACCTCCTAGTTACATAGTGCTTGGGGTCTCGACAGCTTGAAAATAGCCCTCTGAGACTCAATGACTGGACTCTATTAACCTGGACCAGCAAAGGAAAGAGAGTCAGCAGTAGGAATATGGAATGTGTGCCTGAATCTGCCTTCATGTACACCTTCCTCTCTTACCACGAGACCGAAGAACTACATGGCACTCACCTACCATTACTGAACATTCTAATCACAGATTCCATAGGTGAATCCTAAACAATAGGGGGAGGGGGGAGTACAGAACAGAATCTCAAATTCTGATGTACTTTCTGGAGTCATGACACTGTTGCTCTCAAATAATTGTTAAACCTTAAACCCCTGAGATCATCTTAAATCCAAATAATAATGTCACTTCATTAGTAAAAAATGTCACCCATGGACCCCTTGAACACTGCTCTTTTAAGAACGATCTATATGGGATAAAATTGCAAACAGCAACTTGAAAGTTGTGTTAGGAACCTTAAGAGGCACTATGTTTATGTTAATGAAGGAGGAACAACTTGGAACAGGGCAATGAGAATGATTACCCACTTGGAGAATGTAATTAGTGACACAAAATTGTATCTGTAGGAACGGTTGAGTTGGTTGAAACACGCAGGTTGTGCATGGAATAGTTGTAATCTATAGAACACTGACTTAATATTTACAAGTACTTAAGTTGCATGTATACCCACTTTGGGGGCATTATTAAAATAAAAATGTCATTACCTGTTAATAACTTTATCATTTAAACTCTAAAGATTTTTGGAAAATATTCATGAAGGCATCTACCATTTAGGCCACTGACAGTTTTGGAAATATACTTAGTTGGCTTAACTGTACAAAGAAAATTAAAATCTGTCTGCAATATTTCTATAACCCTCGATGACTGAATAGGAACCCATGTGGCATAGTGGTTACACATTGGGCAGACCTCAAGGTCAGCAGTTCAAAACCCCACCCACTGCTTCTCAGGACAAAGATGGAGCTTTCGACTCCATAAAGAGTTACTGTCTTGGAAACTTACAGGGGCAGTTCTACCTGTCCTACAGGGTAGCTGTGCATCAGCATCGACTCAGTGGCAGTGAGTGATAGATGATAAATTGGATTATTGGCCTTTAATTTTTTTTAGTTATTATTAAGTAATAGTGATTACTCAAATATAACTGTGTTTTAATGAAAATATTAACATGTAAATGCAAGAAAAATAGAATACCAAGGACAACTGAAAAGAGCAGAAAATATTTGAAATTATTTCAATCATATGCTTTGCTTCCATGTTACTAAATGTCATTTATTATTGAGTGGTCAAGCTGAGCATTCTAGGGAAAACAAGAAAGTTATATTTTAACTTCTAAATTTTGAGGAAAATAAGAATATTTTCTTTAGACTTTATTAAAATGTATGTCTCCATGCTTCAATTTTTTTAGCAAGCAAAGGTAATACCGAAGGGAACGATCGCGGTGTACTGATAAACTTAGAAGTACTAGCTAACATGCTTTAAACACATAATTATTTGAATATCGTGTTAAGACCATGCTAGTTGTCCTCACACAGAATATAAACAAGTATGAGATTCTGGACATGACCCAGGTTCTTGTACTTGTTTATCTCTGTGTGAGGACAACTAACTGTCCAATGCCAAAATACAATGAACTTTCAAATATCAAAGAAGAAAATTAAGCATTTCAAGTCCTCAGCTGGTATACAGATGTGTGAGCTTTGTAGTACATTTTTTGGTTCCAGTAGGGCATTGTGACAATTTTTCCAATATGTGTACACTAGATAAGTTTTAGAAGCAAAATCACTTACTTTAAATAATGAAATTGTTTTCTGAATTTAAGTTTTTTACACTATTTTTCTTATAAATTAGGTCTAAAACCAAGCTTGACAACTTAAAAAATGTTTTTGAATGTGAAGTAGATTTAATTAGGGAGCCTTTCTCTGTCAGGAAAATAAATGTGCTTTGAAAAAGGTATTCATTTAGATCTATGATTAACCTTTAACAAGATCTTCCTGTTAAATTCTACATTGCTTTCATCTCAGTAGGAAAAATACAAAATAGTATTGCAGCTATAGGGTTTCTATATACCCTGTGGATGTCAACTGATCTCTAGCAGCTAAAGGCACATCTGCAACATATTTAAATGCCAGCGTTGGGCATTATTAGTATAAAATGCTAAGTCACTTTTTTTGGTGGTAGTGGGGGGAATATTTTGAAAAGTTTAAACTCAAAGAGGAAACTCCAATAAATGGTAATCTTATGATACCATCTGCTCCGAGGGTGTGGTGGGAAGATGAGTGACTGCATTGTATATTTTTCATTTAAGGAGAAGCAGTAGGGTTTGGTAGAGCCATTGCTGTGCTTTCGTGACATCCTTCAGGAGGCTGTGTTACCGATCATTATGGAGGTGACACAGTCACCACGTTTGGGGGCTTTCTTCAAACTGGAAGGCTGTGTATTTTTGAAAAGTTCACAATTACTATTGACTGGTTTAAAATAACAAATCTGCCTTAGGGATATAATAAGCTAAAAGACTCAGCCACTGATGCACGAGTATGTGACTATTTTCTTTTTAGCATGAAATAAAAACTTGTGATTCCACCATTGAATTCTTTTTTCCATGTTTTTTTTCCTTCTGTTTCTCTTAAACACAACTTCTAAGGTCAAATATTCGGGACAATGTAGAAATGATTAAGCTTCATAAGCAACTAGTGGAGAAAAGCAATGCTCTTTCAGTAATGGAAGGAAAATTTATTCAGCTTCAAGAGGTACTGTGATCATTTATTTTACTATGATGATATACAAATATCAAGAATTCAAAACTAGCATTTAAGCTGTTTGTTTTCTTAAAGTAAAATTGTTTTAGCACTAAAACGTAATTTCTGTGATCATTGAGTTTATGGAATTTGACTTCATATATTTGTTATTTATAACTCAATAACTAAAGCAATAACTGCTTAGACTTTTATGACTATTTGTGTCATCATAAAATAATGAACGCATTTATCTTAAATCATCTCATGCCAAGAAAATGTATTTTTATCTCCTTTTATCAGAATTCATTATCTGTTCATAGTACTGACAGTTCAGTGACTGTGTACATATATCTTGAATTCTAAACCTTTGTAAAGTATCTAAGGTAGACCAGTGTTATGAAGGACAGTAATCATATTCTGTTAATTCTATCTTTTGGAGAGGATTGTTGAACAACGGCTTTTTGTTGTTTTGTTTTGTCACTACCATTATCAAAAATATTTTAGTATCCTTAATGTAAACTATTGGTGTGTTTATTTTAAACATTAACAATTCATGTTAACTAGAATGAAACACACACACAGACACACACACCCCACCCTCCACCACCCCCTGCCACCATGGTTCCTTTAACAAGGACAGTACCACCACCCCCGCCCCCAGGAATGTGGCATCAGAGGGCTCCCATTTATTGGCACTGCATAATTAACATGGGTTCTGGAAGTAATGAACTCCAAAACATTCCAGATGAGCAGAATTCATATTAACAGCCCTTTCTTTGAAGTATTGAGATAAGGAGAACAATAAAGTGATGCAGAAAATAGGGCCATTTGAAGACTAAATTCACTATTGAATTAGATAAATATTTTTAGGGCATACTCTGGATAGAATTTGCATCTTGCAAGAACCTCCTTAAATGCCAAGTAATAAATAACTACCTTTCATATGCATGTGAGAATTTGAAGAAGAGAGGAAATAGTTGCATTATTGCAGGTAGAAAAGGGAAATTACAAACCATTTTTATTTGAAAAACATTTTTAAAATGAGGAATTAAGAAAACCTACCCCAAAAATGATTTTACAGTCTCTTGTCACTTTAATTTCCATTTAACAGTGATTCCGGGTGTTTTATACAAATATCATTCTTAACAAGTATCTCCTGTAGCCCAGGTACCTCTTTTGAGGAGTAGCATAGCTGGCCTTTCTTTGGAGGATCAGGCCAACAGTCTGAATGAGATCAGAAGCCCAGAGAGATGATTAAAGATAGTATCTATAGCAATATCGGGACTTTTAAAAAGCTGACTCAAAGTAGCTCAACACCCATATTCATTTTAAATAAGTGAACAAGAAACCTTAGTAGAACTTAATTTTAAAGTTAACCTTTTTATAGCTGGTAAAGCATTAAGTAACGTAGCCAGCTAGCCATTTTCAAAATTATTTAACGTACCGGTAATTGACTTTTTATAAATTTACACAAGCAGTATGTAGTTTTTAAGTATGTGAAACTAAAATCAGAGCATTCTCATAAAAAGCTTATTTTGAAAAGCAAGATTTTAACTATTTACTCTTAAAAATTTTGAGTTAATTGTATTAAAATTCAGAGCTAACCATCCAAGACAGTTCATCCAGTATGGTGGCAAATTCTTTCAGTTTTCATGAATGTCTGTGATCGGCATTTCTTTTGGCCCATGCTGCAGCCACTGTAGACAGCATGATAACCACTGTAACCACAGCAAACAGAGAAAAAGAGTAATTGCTGAGAGCGGTCACTATCAGCAAGCCAGGGTAGGAGAAAAGAAAGGTCAAAAATGCTTTGCATAATGAGAGCTACTCTAGATAGCCCTGTGTTTTCTTCCTCTTGTTCCATTAAAACCAGAAATATGTCTTAAAAACATGTAGCCCTCATTTGTAATGTAAAGAATAAACCATATACTGTGAATTTTAGTAACTATACTTGGGGCTTTGTAACTACTTAGTAACTATACTTGGGGCTTTGTAATAGTTTATTTAAAGTATAGTCCGAAAGTGATTTTTAAAAAGTTTCTTACTGTTTTATAGAAGCAAAGGACTCTCAGGATCAGCCATGATGCCTTGATGGCAAATGGAGACCAGCTAAATATGCAGCTTAAAGAGCAGCGCCTAAAATGCTGCAATCTTGAGAAGCAATTGCATTCCATAACCTTTTCTGAAAAAAGAGTCGAAGAGGTAAGCTCCCCAAGAGTTTAGACATCTGCGCATTAAAAACTCTCAGGGCTGATTGAAAAAGAAAGAAAAGAAAAGAAAGAAAGAAAACAGACTTTATAAAGATAGATATTTAAAAATGATCAGCTCTGGATACAGCATAGTTAGCACAACAAAATTGCATCACTCACATAGTATGTGAATGGCAAGTCCATGCTTAAAAATACTTAGGAAATTAAAGACTCTTGAATCAAAATAAACCCTAACATTTTCACACTGATTCCGATTACTTATGGAACTTACTTTCTGAACTATAACGGCTTTCATCATTTTAAATACTCAAACAAAATTATAGGAACAGACCTCTTAGTAAAAAGAAGGTATTTTTGATATTTTGCAACATCAACAATTTTGTGAAACTATCTAGTTGTTTTTAACACTCCAAGAAGAGGTTGCTTGAAATTCATCTTCTTACTGTTGCTGTTCATTTTCCCTGCCAGTACCATCTTTTTCTGTAATCTGTAGAAAATGGAACTAAAAGAATATGCATACAGTCTGTCCTGTTCTTGGGAGAATCTTTTATCTTTCTATTGTGTCTCTTACTAGGATCAGAATAGAATTTTGAGAATGGAAGTGAATTTTATTAATAGTCTGATACATGGGAAAAAGTTGTAACTGCACAATATACTTGTGGATAAAATTTTAAATAAATTTTGGTGTACTCACATCCACAATTTAGTCATAAGATAATCCTAGGTTTATTTCTAATATTTCTAAAACTACTAAGTAAATAATTTTCCTATTTTTTAATTTATCAGGTTGCAATTGGATATTTGTAAATTCCAGGTTAACATGAGAAATTGTCTTCAGAGTAAATAGTTGTTGCAATTTGTTTACACCATGTACCCCCAATAGTTAAGCCTTTTATTTCTTTATGAACCAAGTAGAAATTAAAGTGGAATGAATATAATGAACAAATTCATGGAGGTAGAAGAGTAAAAAATATTATGTTTCCACTGACTTAATAGCAACCTTTTAATACATTCTTTATTGAGTTCTGGCACATGTTGCCATAATGCAGTACATACATTTCTACTAAATTAAAACAAGAATATTAATTTCAAGTTTATTTAACAACTTGGAGAAATCAATGTTGGATTTAACTACAGACTCTATGAATGATCTACTTAGCGGCTACAATTTAGAAATAAAAACTGAAAAATGTTATACTCTACTCATATGTTTTTTTAACCTTGATGTGGCATTATGTAATAATCATCTAATCTGTAACTTTCTCTTCATTTTAGCTGCAGGATAGAATTAATGATTTAGAAAAGGAGCGAGAACTTTTAAAGGAAAATTATGATAAACTGTATAACAGGTAAAAACATGGTTCCATGCCTTTTTTCATTCTCTTATTTGAGTTCTATTATATCCAAACATTTGATGGGAACCTCTACTACTGATTAAACAGAAATACCCCCGCAACAGATGAAAACAAGGGAAAATGCACAGATGGGCACAAGAGGAAGTTAAAATACCTTATTACAAAATCCTAGACACCAAACAAAAATATAAAAATGTAAAGCTACTGTTTCTTGATCCATCCACCTTGTAGGGCTACACTTCTAACGGCGGTGCTCCCACCTCTCTACCCCTTCCCAGAGAATTCTTTGCCCTTCAGTTTGTCACCCTCAGCATTACAGTTTTGGCATCCTCAGAGGACTCAACTCGTATTCCTTTTTAAATATTCTAGGACTCTGGAGAAGAAAAGGGACCCTGAAGGGGCAAGGTGGGGGCACTAAGGTAGCTGGGGTGAGGTTTCCCATTGAAATTCTCATAGGACAACCTATCCTTGAAGGATGAGCAGGTACATTGTCGTGATGAAAAATAATTCCTCAGTTCAATTTTTAAGTTTCCTTAAAACTTTATCATAATAAGCCACATGATCATCCTCTCCTTTGGTAAAATCTATCAATAATGATGATGCCTTTTAAATCTGAAAAACAATCTCGATAACCTTCTGAGTTGACCTCACTGCCTTGAAATTAAGCAGCCCAGGGGACCCCTTGGATTGCCCTTGTTTTCTGGATGACATCAGTGTTTCTGAGACTCTTCCCCGGTTATGATTCATTCCCTAAAATCATCTTCATTAGCTTCAGTCTTGTTTAATTAGGTTTACAGACCTTTCTTATATACCTCTCTCTAGATCAGTCTGCATTGTCTTTACGTTTGATGTTTACTTGCTAAGAACCTTTATATGTGTTACTGAAGTAATGCTTTCATGAATGAAACAGATTTACTGGGATTAGTACTCAGTTTATGTTCGCGTCAAATTCGCATAGATACATAGAGATAGGTATATCACACAGAGAATTCAAGAATAGAAGGCTTAGGAGAAATTAAATTAAAGTCAGCAAAATGGTAAGAGGTAAATATGAACAGCTTCTGTAATTTTCATTGAGGAAAAAGAAATGCATCAAAATGACAGAAAGTCAACTTTTGAACTAGCTGATCTTTGAGCAACACTTTTTTATTATCACTTTTTTTTAAATCACTTTTTTAAGGTACTTTAATGAGACTTAATGGAGGCCTGGTGTTATACTGATTCCACATTGGGCAGCTAACTTCAAGTTCAGAAGTTCAAAACTACCAGCTGCTCTGTGGGAAAAGGGGCTTTCTACTCCCAGATAGTTATAGTCTCAGAACCTCACAGGGGCAATTCTTCCCTGTCCTGTCGAGTCACTGTGAGTTGGCATTGACTCAATGAGAGGAAGTGTAATGAGACCTAAGTGTATTACAGAGAGAACTTATGTGCCGCCATCTCCAATCGCAGAGACATGTTTAAACTCATTTAGTTTGGAATAAACCCCTACATTTCTCTCTCTCTCTCTCTCTCTCTCTCTCTCTCTCTCTCTCTCACTCACTCCCCCACATCCCTCCCTTTCTCTGTGTAATAACAGAAACTGAAGCACTCTTTTTAGGTATTCCTATTAAGTTCTTTAATGGGAGCAGTATTCTATCACTACTAAGAAAACGATTTACCTTTGCTGCAAATAACAGCTGTACATAAAGCTAATAGGCACTATGCTAGATACTCTGTATACATTATTATAAATTCCTCATAAAACCTTAACATGTAGATATTTTGAATGTCCATTTTATAGACAAGGAAGGTAAAATCGGTTTAAATAACTTGTCTAAGTAAGGTCTTAAAACTATGACTAATAGAGTCTCTCTTAGTCTTGGCAGGACTAGCTGTCTTCCACTGAACTACCCTGCCTGTTAGCAGAGAGGTTTTATTGAGGGAATGCTAAGGTGTTGGCTTACAACGTGAGTCTGTTCATTATATCAAGAGAAGCACGAGCATCTTTATATCAAGATAACTTTCTTTAAACTGCTTCCATTTTTTCCCCCTAATATGCTTCATAATTATGGTATTTAGAAATTTGCCCCTTCTGGTAATGTTAGAAATTAAATTCTACTCCAAAGCTAAATTTGATCAAGTAATACAGATATCTGCAAGTATATACATTTTCACATCTTTATGAATATGAACATCTTTATGTATATTATTAATATATGTTTATATCAAAGAAAATTCCGAGTATGTTAAAATGTTACAGCTAATGTTCAACAGTTGCTTATATTGTTCAGACAGTAGAACATCATAAAATCATCATCTGAGCTAAAGATAGATGTTTTAATTAAATTTTTTAATTTTCTAATTTAAACAAATTATAGCCAAGAATGTGGGGATAGGCTTTTTTTTGGTTTACTTTGAAAAGATTTCTAAATTAATGTTCAGCATTATTCTGTCACCTCTGTTGTTTACCTACTAGTAGTATTAACTGCCTTTGCACCAAACCAAACCAAATTCACTGCCATCAAGTCCATGCGGGCTCATAGTGACCCCTCGTGGGTTTCCGAGACTAACTGTTTATGGGAGTAGAAAGTCCAGTCTTTCTCCCTCAGAACTTTGGTGGTTTCGAACTGCTGACCATACAAACCTCAGCCCAGTATGTAACCCACTACACTACCAGGGCACAGCTGTTTGCTCTCCTTACATTAAGAGTTACTGACTGCAAGTTCAGATGCCACTTAAAATAATATTTTGGATTCCCCAGCAAGAGTAGACTAACTAAAATATTCATGTGGGATTGGTCTTCAACCCATTTACACAGATCATTTGGTCTCCATTATTTTATGCTGATTCCCCACCCTAACCCCCAACCCCATTTCTTCAGCCCTGATTAATTTTATCTACAGTATTTATTACTAATTATTAGTGGTTCCTGTTTTATATTATGCTCCCTATGGAATAAAGTATTGATCTATACTAGCATATATGTGAGTAATAATTGTGTTTGACAAAGTAAAATGTCAGTATACAGATCAGATTGCACCTTATTTTATCCCCACATTTTATACATGAGGGAATTGAGACTCAAAAAAATAAATAGACGAGTAGATTCACATGGCATTGCCAAGACTTCAGTCCTTTGCCATCCCTTTTGGGCTCAAAACTTGTTTTTTTTACCCCTATGCTTCACTACTTCTTAAGAGAAGAAATTGCACTGGAAATTGTCTGTGTGAAAGGGAAACATTCATGCAATAATGGAACAGTAGGGAATTTTTATTGATTGATATTGATCTTTACCAGCTTGTAGTTTCAAATTATTTATTACTGTAAATGAAAAAAAAGTATCATCTAACCATTACTTCTTGAGTTACTATTTTTTTCCATTTTCAAAATTTTCTCAACATACCTTGTTAGAATAGAAAGCATCAAACCTGACAGGGAGTATGTCCCAAATGGAATTTTGGGAAAGTTGGAATTCATTCATATTTCCATTATCGTCATAAAAATTTTATCTTTCCATATAGGAAAACTATTATTTACTAGAGTGTAAATCTAGCTTTAGAGGTTTTTTGTTTAATGTTTTTGTGCTTGAGCTATTATTGTTTTCTATCACAGCAAAAACAGAGGCCTCATTATGCTACTTCTGTTTGAAGTTTGTGTGAGGTGTATGGAATTAGATGTGTATAATGAATGTCAGAACATTTAATGTCATTATAATTCAGCATATAGCAAATATATATAATAAAAAACACAGGCAGGTATGTAGTATGTTTTAAGAATCATTGAAGAAACCCTACGAAAGGCATCATCCCAAAGAATCCTTAGAGCTTTGGTGTTTCAGGACATTGTTATGCATCATTGACAACAGCCAGTAGTCCTCAGGCACTGCACATACTCCCTGTTGGTTAGTCAGATGATAGAATGTTTTTAAAAGGGGAGTATTTGTTTATTATTGAAAATTGGCTGGTTTTCAGGGGGAAAATATGATTTGCATTGCATCTCATCTTTTTCAAATGAAATTCTGAGTGTGTTTATTACTTGAAATATGACATATTAGAGAATCATCTGGTGAGACAAACCCTCATGTTAGTATTTGGCATGAGCTGTTTTTAATATGCTAAAGCATTTTTGATACAATGCCAATAAAGAATATAGTTATTTATGAAATTTAAAGGTTCAAAATAGATTTCTTGCAGTTAAATCTTTCTGTTTGATGAAGGAAGAGCACTTGCTGGCATATTGTATTGTGTGTTGGGCTGTTACCTGCAAAGTTGGTGGTTCAAACACATTAGCCATTCTACTCAGTGAAGATCACCTCCTCCCAAACCCAAAAGGGACACGTTTCACTGTGTTCTACAGGTTGCTATGAATAGGAGTCCACTCAGTGCTAGTGAGGTGGGTTTTTGGTTTTGATATTTGAGCAGAGAGAAACTGTATGCTAGATCATTGCACATCTCTCCCCCTTCTTTAGAGTTAATACAGTTTTAGGGCCATGGGATTGTTACAGATAATGATCCTTCAACTATAATGTATACGAATAATCTAAAAACGTATTAAAATATAGGTTTCATCACTCTGCCAGTCAATCCTGATTGAGTTTATTTGAGTTTGGGCCCAGAAAGTCTGTTGAAGGTCGTTTTAAATTGTTAACTCCATGAGAAACAGTGATAAGAAAAAAGTTTCATTTTAGTTTTTTGGTGTTGCTAAAATATATTTTTTATAAACATACAGTTCAACAATTCAATCATATCAAGAGTTGTACAGTCATTACCACAGTCAATTTCAGAGCATTTTCTTTTTTCTTGTACTCCTTGTTTTTAGCTCTCCAATTCACCCCAATGTCCCCTACTGCACCTCCAAAGAACTATTAATACAGTTAGTGTCTCTATAGATCACCCATCCTGGATTACATAGACCATAAGACACACAAACAAAAAAGCAAAGGTAAGAACAACAAAATAAGAAATAAATATCCTAGTTAGAAAGAAAACAAAATAATAAAAACTAGAACAACTTTAAAATGGATCAAAAAAGAGATTACTGTACATACTCGAGTATAAACTGACGTGAATATCAGCCAAGGCACCTAATTTTACCACAAAAACAGCATTAAAAATATGCTGGAAAACTCAGCTTATACACAAGTATATACGGTTAATATGGTGTAAGAAACTAACCTAACTACATACACCATAATCCACTTTCCGTTACAAAAAGTCTCATTTTTTTTCATGTGACACACTTTTTAAAAATAGGGTGTGCTCTGCAGTCTCTTTAGACTCATCAGAGGCCCTTCAATCAAATACGAGCACTTCACTCTTCACAGAAATCAAACTCTTGTGTCATTTCGGGCATCATTTGACCTTAAGAGAGTGGACTATCTTTATGTAAACATGTATTTAATTTTCACTTAAATTAAATAATAAGTAAATAATCCAGACTCATAGCAATTCCCTGTAGGTTCCGAGACTGTAATTGTTTTAAGAGTGTAGAAGGCCCAGTCTTTCTCCTGCAGAGCTGCTGGTGGTTTCGAACTGCCCACCATGCAGACCACAGACCAAAACATAACCACTACGCCACTCTAAATCATCAAGAAGACATTCACAGGAACTTCAGTTAGTTGAGCCTTAACTAAAGTCCCTGTGGATTTCTTTTGACTGATTTTAGAGTTTATTCTTTTCAGGCCCTCTGGTACAATGGTTAAACACTTAGCTGCTAACTGAAAGATTGGAGGTTTGAACCTATTCAGAGGTTCCTTGGGAAGAAAAATAAGAATTGGAATCTGCTTGTGAAAGATTACAACTTCGAAAACCCTTTGGGGTAGTTCTCCTTTGTCCTGTAGGGTCACTGTGAGTCAAAGCTGACTCAGTGGTATCTAACAACATCTCTCAAATTAGAATGCCCTTGAATAATAGACTAAATGCAATTTCTTTTTTAAGGGAAAAAATTACTGGGGTGAAGATGAACTCTTCTGCCTTATTTCAATTTTCTGTCTTATCTTGTATGTTTTCAAGGGTGTATATATACACTCTGCTGACCCTGGGCTACAAGTGGACATGCCAGTGATCACAGGTGCCCCTGAGCATCCTACCACAGACTGACATCGTTATCACTCCTGCAACATAATGTAACAATGAAATGTGCACAAAGACCAACTATAGCCCGCCCCCCCGCCTCAGTTGTCACTGTAGGCAATATATGAAAACATTTTTTATGAATAAAAAGTTCTCAAAGACTGTTCTCATATGCAGATCTAATCATACACACAGCCCTTACAGAGAAAATGGAGCCAGATGTGGCTCGCCATTTATAGTTACACAGATGGCTCCAAGCATAGAGGAATACAGTAAATTTCAGAGGAATTCCTCATGAAACTCTAGTGGAATGTAATCCTAAATTTAGAGGGAAGATAGCAGTGGACTAAATTCAGATTGACTTATGCTGATTTACACTAGTATTTGTGGGTTTAGAGAAACCAGGCTGCTAAATTGTTCTTAATTTAAACACATACAGCTTCTGATGTTTCTGCCAGATTAGCTGTTGGTGATCTTCTTGCTGGTACTAATGCTATTGGAACACTACTGTTTCTAATTTTTGGCGTCTGATATAATGTATAGTTATATGTATTTCATCATGCTAATTTTTTCCCAAGTGGTACATGTTTTCAATAACACAAGACACACACGCATATATATGTACATATTCTCTCACATATATCCATATATGTATATGTGTTCAGTATATATACTTTACCCAGAAATAAAAACTACTTGTTCTTTATTTTATTTATTTATTTTTTGTTCTTTATTTTAAATGAAAGGAATATTGTCTTTAGTGTTTGGAGTATATATTTTATATGGATTTCATTTTTAAGCCTAGATAATTATACCTCTAATAAAAGTTAATTAAAATATTGGTATTTCAGAGCCATCTCTCTTTTTAAGGTTGCATATGTGGAATGAGAACAATGAGAGAGAAAACAGATATACTTAGAAAAGCTTTGAATTCCACTTATTTTCAGGGTCACATTATTTAAGTTTTATCGTAATACTCAAAATGTGAAATGAATATATAATTTTGCTATTTGGAAAGATATGCCCACCAGAAAAGTGTAAGTTCCAAAAAATATATCTTTTTATTGTTGGGGGGGGGGGAGTAATTAACAGGGTTTTTTTTAGAATTAAACCTTAAAACTAGCCAAGAGCCACAATAAGTAGAATTTTCAAAACTGTCTCCCATTTACTTCAATATAAAATCATATTTTAGAAATTTTGGGTTCATTTACTGGGTCTCAAATAAGTAGAAATGTCAATGCTGCTGATAATTATCAGTCATATCAGGCTTCACAGATAATGATTTTCTGCTGAAATACAGAGCAGTGTTTTCAAAACCTGTTTTGGAAACCACTGATCTAAAAGAATTTTTATGCTTTCTGCATATCTTTTAGTTTATTTTAAAAAATTGCTTCTTTCTTCTAATATGTTGGTGTATTAGTAGATTTTCACCCTGGTGTAAGCTGTAATTCTTTTATTGAGGAGTAATAATTCTCCTCTCATCCTTCTTATCAGGCACTGAGCATTGGTTTTCATCCCAACCATGTGTTACAAGTAAAAGTGCTATTTGATTTTTAGAAAAAACAACAACATTACCAGTACTTTTAAATAATAGCAGAATTATCACAATATGCTACCATTCTGTGACCAGTGTTTTATACCTAGTCATATTATCACAAACTCTTAAACGCTTAAAAAGTTTGTTCAGGTTCTGAAATAAAAGATCAGGTGGAGAGTGACTTTTCTCTGTTAAGATGACTTGTCTGTGGGAGAGAATGGATGTGTGCATTGTCTGCTGCTGCTGAGGTTTGAATTGCGGATTCCTCTGGAGTATGTACAGTATCTGAATTCCTTTACTAGTCCCACAAAAGCTGCACACTGCCAACTTTTCTGACTTTAGAGCTCTAAATTAAGGCCAGTTCCTTTGCTCATCCCACAAACTCTTTCATGTTCCCTAACCGCAGCCTGAGAAAGGCGCCTTGGTTTCAACAGCAGCAGACCAGCATATGTTTACTTAATTCCTGAGACATGATGACAGTGGTCTCTGTGCCACTAAAAGCTTCTCTCGGTATTATTTTCAGTTGAAGCTGATTTCCAAGTTTGTCTTGCATGTCATGTGTGTTTTGCAGTGCCTTCAGTGCTGCCCATGAAGAGCAGTGGAAGTTTAAGGAGCAGCAGCTGAAAGTGCAGATTGCTCAGCTCGAGACTGCCTTAAAATCAGACTTAACAGACAAAGCTGAAATCCTTGACAGATTAAAAACGGAAAAAGGTACATATAAAATAACTGTCGACTCTCATTTCAGACAGCTGATGTTTATTCATGGAAGCAATTTGAATTGATGGTGGTACCTATTGTTTTGCCAGGTACCTTGCTAGATATTCGGGACACAGCCTGGGTTAAACGCCATCCTCTTTCATGCATTTATTGGTGCTCAAAATTTCTCTTCAGGCAGCCTAGACTGTATATCAAAAGAATTATTTTCCCCCCCTCTAGGTTATTCTTATTCACATTATCTTTAATTTTTCTAAATTCTGAGCCTTTCCTTACAGTTACTAAGTGTTTATTGAGCACTTATTAGACACTGTTCTAAATTCTGGGGCTGCAGCAATGAATGAAATCAAGAACGTGTTCTCATCCAGCATATATTTAATAGGGAGAAATCGCCCACAGGTAGATCAATAAGTCATCTGGAGAGTGGTGGAAGTGGTTGCTTGCTGTATTTGATACTTAACCAGGGGAGGTCTCTCTATTGTGATGCTGAAATCTACTACTATGTGACTGTAAACCTAAATACCAAGAAAATTGTCAAATTGTCCCCACTAAAATAATAGTCCTTAATAAGTCTCATGTCATGAATGGCAGATCTCACCCTTCCTGTCTCCTGAATGTAGAATCATGTATAGTTAAAGTAGCTATCAGAATCCTGTAGTGCACACATTTATACACACACAAATGCACAACAGTAGAAATGATTTGCTTCAAGTGTTGAGTCTGTATCCTTGTGCTACAGAAACTAAGTGCTGTGGTACTAAAGTTGCTCCCTTTGAACATTTATGATTCATTTGCATGAGAATGTTTGAAAATTTAATGCAGATTCAGTTGGGGGGTGGGATGAAAAACCTGGATAGTTAATACTTTCATGTGTTGATGTATATGCTATATTTCATTGACTATAAGGAATATTTCTTTTCACATTGTAACATCTATGAAATTGGATTGCCTATCAGTAGTGATCAGATCTTAACATTTCAGCCGGACTTTTTTTTTCACATTTCAATTTGGAATGCATCTTATAATTGATAGATTCTTAATTTCCACTTAATACGTTAGTGCAGTATTTATTCAACCAGTGATGAAATCTGATGGTGATTATGTATGCATTCTTCTATAAACAATTGTATATATTGAGTATAATGGCATGATTTTGGGTCAGGGGACATTTAAAAGTTTTGATGTCAAAGATAGATAGTTCTTGATCTTAATGTGCATCATTAAATAAATGACAGGATGCCTTCTCTTAGTAATTGCTCAATAAATTCTTGTTCACGGAAAGAGTACAAAGGCTCTCTATTCCCTCCCTCTTTTTCAAAAATATATCTAAATTGCCAGTTCCTAGAGCAGAAAAGGAAACTAAATAACCCTTTATTATTTCTATGCTTTCTTTGTCACCTTAAATATTAAGAAACTGCCTATACCATCATGTGACTCTAAAACTTATCTTTAGGACAATCTTTCAGACAACTCTTAAGTGGCAGAAATCTCAATGGTTTTTTTTTTAATCTATTAAATTAATTCTAAATATTCTTGTTAAGAATATTTGCTTACTGCAATTATTAAGCTATTTCAATTTAATTTGTTCGTTTCTCATATTTTTAACTGGTTCTTTTTGACTGATATAAAATGCAAATATCTTTTTTGAAAGTTTCTGGAAAATAAAACTAATTTAGGCATAGCACTTTAAAATGTTCATTAAAAAATAAAATATTCTTAAAAAGTACTCATTCTCACAATTTTAAAGATAAGCACTGATAATATTTTTAGGTATATCCCTTCAGAGTATTATATTTATCTGTATTATATTTATTATAGTTTTCCAGTGTGTAGATATGCCATTTAATATTTAACAATCTTCTGTTGGTGAATGTTTAATTAGCTTAAATTTTTTAAAACCCTAAGCAGATCTCTGTACATAAATATTTTACATTTACTTATTTTCTTAAAATTCGCTAAAATATAAACTGCCTTTATTTAATGCTACTTTTATTTCACAAACTTATTTTTGTTTCAGTAACTTGAAATGTACCAGTGGATTTAAGTTTTCATTTCTGTGTGAAAGTATTACAATAGATCATAGCAAAAATATTACAGCCTTTAGCTCTTTTCCAGGGAAATGCTAAATAAAGAATTAAAAATTGCCTCTTCAAGGAAATCTTTTATTTAGAAAGTTCCTTTTTGTATTACCAATCTTGAAATAATTCAGTGTTATTTTGAAGTTCCTTCACACATTTACCTTTTCACGTATCAAGTGTTCTTTGCCAGAAGATGTTTCCCGGCTTCTTGTAGTCATTCATCTGACTAGCAAATTATTTTTAGAGAATATTCACCTCTTTATTCAAGGTACAAATTAGTTTCAGATTGTGTGAATATGTGGGGGAAGGATATGTAAATTCAGTTTGCATTTGGTTAACGCTTAAATTAACTGCATGTGTTTAATGCCCTGCTTTTGAAAGTTCCTTTCTATCTTTAGCTGAAAGGCATAATTCAGCATAATGCATATGGTTATATTGATCACAGCTGAAGATATTAGCACAAAGGCGTTCTGAAAATTGTTTAGTTAGATTGTTCTCTGCACTCTGCTTATTAATCGTGTGCTAGAAGAACATAATTTTAAAAGAGTGAAATGTTATGTCATTTGAATAAAATTCTGTTTAGCTTAACCTGCTTTTTGTCAAATCATAAGGTAAGGAGGTTATTTTTTTCATCTTATACAGGGTGCTTTGATTTTTCATACTGTACTTCAGGAAATCTATTTCCTCTTTGAACTGTGGTGTCTCAGTATAGCTCAAGACCCAGGGGTTATGTCCTCAATAAAGTTTGAGAAAGAAAGAAAAAGAATTGTGTGTGTGTGTGTGTGTGTGTGTGTGTGTGTGTGTGTGTGTGTTTTCGTATTCTACATGAAATTCAGAACAGAATCTTACTGGTATTCAGGAATGACAACATATTTTCCCACTAATGACACACACCCTATTTTAAAAATACCAGTAAAACAGGGTCGTTGCTATTAAACTATAAATCAGTAAAGGATGGAAATATTTGAATAAGTTTATACCTATTAGCATATTGTTTTTAGGAAGCCTGTTCTGGATTTTTTAAGGATAGAAAAACTGAAGCAAAGGATCAATAATCAAAATACAAGGGGTATAGCTGATGATTCGGCTATCATGTCCTTTACACTTTAGCTCACCTTTGCCAAAAGCCTGCTGCTGTCAAGTCAGTTCCATCTATAGGACAGAATGACAATTGTCCTATAGAGTGTCCAAGGTAGTAGTATCTGTCAGAACAGACTACCTCATCTTCCTCCTGCAGAGCAGCTGATAGGTTTGAACTACTGACCTTTCAGTTAACAGCCAGCTACGTAACCGCCGCACCATCAGGGTTCCTCCGCTCACACTTAGAGCCCTTGAAAAGGTTTACTGGACAGTTAATGAATGGCTACTACCTCAAGAGCCTTTGTTTTACATATTTCTAACTGCATTCACCGTGTGTTTTGTTACCTCATCATTTTATCTAGCTGTTGTTTGAACCTAATCAACATGAAATAAAAGAGCAATCTTCTTATTCTGCTCTCTAGCCAAAATCAATTACCTCCTAACAATTCATAATTATTAATCATCAAAATTTTTAGCTTAAAGACAAATATCTGATCATTGCCTTCAAAACTACCAAATATTCACATTTGAAAATTCTTTCCTTTGAGTCATTGAACAGTAGCAATTTATACTCTAAGATAATTTTTTTATCCATAAGTTAAAAATGTTAAAATATTTAATATTAAAATGTCTCTAAAAAATGCCTCTGTATATACTAGGATCACAAATTGTTTTATGTTTTAGCTTGCCAGGAAATATGCAACATTATAAACATCCAAATTTAATGTTTTGGGATTTTTTTTTAGCTGTATAATTTTAACATTTTTACTTATATTCAATAGCTGTAACTTGGGAATGTAAAGCATTATAAAATCAGAAATACATTTTTGCATAAGGTGCAGTCAGCTTGCAAATATATTTATGTAAAAGAGTTCTTGGCAAGTGTATTACTTATTTTCATTTTTTAAGAAGGAAAACAATGGTCGAGTGATGGAGGTCTTATGATAAACATTTATCTTTGAGAGGGGGATGAAATCACTGGAGGCATTTTAGATGATGGCTTATTTAGAGTTGGTCTATTGGGAGCTGACAAGAGGTGGCTCGACCACCACCATGAACTCTAGTGAAGAGTACACTGAGAAACACCGGACTAAAGAACCTTGACTTATTAGCTAGCAGTTAGTTTTGTTTTGTTTTTAGGTTAAACGTGTTTAACATGTCAATTCCAACTCACAGTTACCCTATGGAACACAGTAGAACTATCCCATAAAGTGTCCAAGCAGCCAGGCACCTTAACTGTGTCACCTAAGCTCTCAATTGCCTCATGGGTGTGCTAGCTTCCATGCTCTCCTCTCGTGTCAGCCACAGTAAGTGGGCGCCTGGGCCTGTGGAGTCCAGCTTAATCTCTACCAATAACTTTATGTGAGCATGCTAGTAACTAATAGCTGAACTGAGTGAATAAAGAACGTGTGAATTATTATTATTACCATGTACAGGTCCAGAATCCACTTCTTTTTGCCTACCCTAACAAATTTGTTAAAACTGTGGTTGGTTTAAAGTGTGGTGGATTGAAATTATGGGAGCAGAGTTTATTTAGCAGATAAATGATCTTGTTCAAACACAAAGACTTCATGTTAAATTTGGAAAAGAAAAGTCAAGGGAGCCAATTAAAATACTAAAAGACAATTTTTCTTTGCATGCCTTTCAGGACCCTTACTAAGTAAGTAAAAATCATAATTTAGAAACATATTTTTTTATTTTAAATAGAACGTTCCTTTGAAGTCCCAGAGGCCACAGTTTCCTTATATAAATACTATGACTTTAAATCTTGAATTTTTGATAAGCCAGCAAATCATATGGTAGACACATGATAGTGTTTGCTCGTTTCCCATTTCCCTGCTGCCTTTGTGTAGGTGCTAGCTCAATTTCCTCTCCGACCAGAGCAGCACTAGTTCAAACTTGATGTATATCAGGAATTAAATTAATTTAACATGAATCCATCCACTTACTTTCCACTTTCCTTTCTAAATATGTTGACTTTGTTTTTAAGATCAAAATGAAAAACTCATTCAAGAGAATAGAGAACTACAGTTACAATATCTGGAACAAAAGCAACAACTTGATGAACTTAAAAACCGAATGAAATTTTTTAACAAGGTAAATTAGTGTCCTCTTTACGAAACAAACTCAAAATTTTTATCTAAACATTTTAGGAAACAGTATACTGCAAAGCAAAATAATGCAAATTTATTACTTTCTATTATTTTATGGTATCAGGCAGCTTATGTTCTGAATAGTTGAACTGCCTCTTGTACTTGCCCTAAATATCTAATTGCAAGCTTTCACTTTATTTATTGCAGGAGAGTGATATTAATGTTGATGAATTGAGCGAAGCTCTCCTGCTTATAAAGGTAGCTTTCTGAACTTCACAGTGAATTTCATATCTGCATATAACTGTTTTCGTATAATAAGGACTCTAATCCCTTATACTTAGAGACTATATTATTTGTGTATTTTCTGCATCTTTTAATTATATGCATGTACACATGTCAATTTCAACTACCAACACTCAAGAAAATGCTCAAGTGACATTTACCATATACATATTTCATAATGACATCAAAATTACATTAAGAGGCCTCAAAACTCTTTTCAGAGCACTTTCTCTACCAGTATTAAACATCTTACTTTTATATGCCTCACTATAAAACTAATCAACCCATGAAAACTTTGTGCACTTCTGTTAAGTAAAATATTGAATTATAAATGTAATAAGAAAATACCTCCGAGTTCCAGGATACTTTATTATTTATAAGAACACACATGCATTTCAATATTTATTTTAATCAAATGAAGAAATATAAGTATAGACTCCTCTTGCATGTTATGAATTTTTTTCTGTAATTGTTTCATAGTCTATCCAATTATATTTTCCATATCAGGGCAGCTCTATTTATTCTTCATGGAGAAATGTAAATATATCTGTTTTAAATTAATGATTTTTTTTCCTTGCTGTAGCTATCTTCACATGACCATAAACTAGAATTCTTGTTTCAGTAATAAAGCATATTTTTGTTTTAGGCCCAAAAAGAGCAAAAAAATGGAGACCTTTTATTTTTAGAGAAAGTAGACAAAAATAATAAAGATCTGGAGCATTCCATGAGAGAGCTGCAAGCAACTCATGCAGAAACTGTACAAGAACTGGAAAAAACCAGGAACATGCTAATTATGCAACATAAAATTAATAAGGATTATCAGGTGATGTAATACCCCCCAACATCAAGAAAATAAATTTCTTAAAATAATCCCGCTGATGCTACTTTTCTAAGAATGTGCATGTATTATCTGGTATAGTTTATATTGTTTAATCATAGCTCTGGAATTCAGCCTTAAAACTAGGTATGCAGAATAAATAGTTTAAAATCAAATGTTTTTGTTTTCAGTCACGGATTGTAAGGAACTAAGAGTAGCAGTGAATTGACCTTTATTAGCACATTCTGCGGATTGGTTGTGGGTAGCCAGAGATTCTGCCGTACCACATTATTAGCTTTTAACCAGAGAGAAAACCATCTTCCTAAGTGAGAATCCAGAGTTATTGTTGTTTTTGTGCTTTTTAATATACTTTATTCGTGGCCATTGCCAAGCATAATTTTCTAACCTATAAGCTATTTGCTGTCAGGAACCAGAGTTTACACTCCTGGAATCCCTAGGATCGAGAAAATGCCTGGATCATGTTCACCTTGAAAAATGAAAACGGAACAAATCATAGGTATTGAAACATGTTATATCTCTTACTTTTTAGATGGAAGTTGAGGCAGTGACCCAAAAGATGGAAAATTTACAGCAAGATTATGAACTCAAAGTAGAACAGTATGTTCATCTTCTTGATATCAGGGCTGCACGCATCCAGAAACTAGAAGGTACGATATGCAAAATTATTTGTTCACAGTAACCAAAGAAATGGATTTTATAGCAGTTGAAAATATCACCCAAATCTACACTCACGATTTCTTTTTGCTTTGTTTTTTCTAATTCATAGCTATAATCATCTACCAAAAAGACATATTTTTTGCTTTTTTGGTACTAGAGAATTGTTTGTAATTGCCTACTGCTTTTTCACTTCACTGTTGCAGGCATAAGGATCACAAATCCAAATTTACCACCTTAGTTGTTGTTTTTATTCCCTAAGCAATCTATGCACCTCAGCCAAACTAGTCTAGTTACTCTTTCTAAGATTCATCTTGCTCAGCCCTATCACCAAACCAAGCCTTTGTTCATTGCATTAGGAAAATCTGATGCAAGAGACCTCTTCAGAGTATTAAAAAGTAGGGATGTTACTTTGAAGACTACGGTGCTCATCCAAGCCATGGGATTTCCCATTGCTTCTTATGCATATGAAAGTTGGACATTGAACAAGGAAAGCCAGAGAAGAATGAATGCATTTGAATTGTAGTGCTGGAGAAGAATATCGAAAGTATCATAGACTGCTAAAAGGAAAAACTGATCAGTCTTGGAAGAAGTACGGCCAGAGTGTTCTTTAGGGGCAAGGATGGCAAGACTTCATCATGCATACTTTGGAACTACTGTCAGCAGAGACCAGTCCTTGGAGAAGGACGTGATCAGTAAAGTGGAGAGGCAGTGAAAAAAAAAAGGAAGACCCTCAGCAAGATGGATGGACACAATGGCTGCAACAGTGGGATTAATCATATGAACAATTAGGATGGTGCGGGACCATGTGTTTTGTTATGATGTGCATAGGGTTGCTATGCTGTTGGAATTGACTCAAAGCTACTTAAAATAACAACAATATGTCTACTTGATGATTCAGGAAAGACTTCACATAGTAGGCATAGAATCTTTTAAGATGGAAGAATTCACCATTAAGTAAAAGTAATAACAGACACTCCATAGAGTAAAGTGAGGCAGATAAAAATACCTAAGTGTGAAGCACTGTGGTATCCCTAAGACACTGCCCTAGACCTGTCCCTGTATTGGAACTGAGGGATAATAGGTAACAGAGCCTAGAGATAAGGCTGGATTTAACCAATTCATGAAGGTCAATGACCAAATCCTGAAGGCCCAGTGGACCACCTTGAAAACTAGGAAACTTAGAAGCCTGTAGACCAACTCAAGGGTTCTTAAGGTATGCAGTGATAAACTGAGAATTGCACTTTTGAGATTATGCTGCTGGGTATTGAGAAGAATGGGTAAGATAAAAGGGTGGGGAGCCAATTGGGTTCTATAAAGTAAACACTGGGAGTAATAAGCCATAGAGGAGATGGAGAAAACGGACAAATTTGATAAAGACTTAGGAAATAGAGTTAAAAAGTTTATAGAAATAAGGAGAGTGAAATCAAAAGAAGACTCTAGGGTACTCGGCAACTAGATGAGTGGAGCACCTAAGCCTCAGAGCTCAGGAATAGCTAGAAGACAAGATGATACTGTCTGTTCTAGACACGCTAAATACGGCTTCCTTTCGGGGATCTTTAGGTAAATTTGTTCTGTAAGCCATTAGACATGAGGGTTTGGGGTTGAGGAAGATATATGAATTAAAAATAGCAATATCAAAATCTTCAACATATTGATAGTAGCAGAAATCATAAAAGTGGATGAGATAACCTAGATGAATCTGTAAGCTAAGAAGACCAAAAACAGTGCAGTACATTAGCACAGAAAGCTAAACTCTAAAAGAACGAAAAAAAGGGGTAGTTGGAAAAAACGGGAAGGGAGGGCCACAGATGCAGAGTAGAGCAGAAGTCTTCAAATGAGAAGGTGAAGCAAAGGAATCAAGTGATGTGCTAACCTCAATCCCTTGGATCTTGCATCTAAATGTTATTACAAGCCCACTCTGGATTATTTTCACATAAAAAGTAAGGCAGATGCAGTTTGCAGCAGATCAAAGCGTGTCTGTTAGATGAGGAACTGGATATAACAAGTATACTCTCTCTAGAAATTTGGGTATGAAATAAGGGGGGAAATTTTATCTAGAAAGGGATATATTTCAGGGGAGGGAGGGGGAAGAAATGGGGAGCTGATATCAGGGGCTCAATTGAGAAGAGAATGCTTTGAAAATGATGGTGGCATATGTGCAAATGTGCTTGACCCACTTGATGAATGTATGGATTGTGATAAGAGATGTAAGGGCCCCCAATAAAAGTAAGGGGGTAAAAAAGAAAGGAATTCTTTTTAAATAACAAGTTTTATAGACCCAGGATTGATTAACCTAGAGGGACACCAAGTAGAATAAGGGGTTTGTGGGGAGGGAGGGGCCATGCTGGTGAGGGGTAAAAGAGGGAGATGACATCGAGGAGCCCATTTAGAAACAGAATGCTTGGAAACTGATTGTGGTAGCAATTGTAAAATTCTATTTGCAGTGATTGAAATCTGGAATGACAAGATATTTTAGTATTAAGTCTCAACTAAAAAAAATAATTTTATAGCAGTATAGTTTAAATTCTTTAACTGTCCGTGTTTAAACTACAATTTCATCAGTTTGGGCATATGTGAAACCAGCACCACAGCCCAGATAATAAACATAACTATCACCTCCAGAAGTAGAAAAATATATATCTTATGTGCGGAAGGGTAGTAGCCAGTGTAAAGAATTTCACTTTATAGGAGAGAAGGTAAGGGAAACTACAGAGGCTGAGGTGTAGGTAAATATCCAGGTATTTGCTTAAACTCGGCTACTCCGTCATAGGTTCTTTTCTTATTGCAACATAATTGTTAAGTAAGTGAGTGATGCCAAAATCAACGGTATATTCCTGTTTTGTACAATATTATAAACAGAAAAGTAGTATGTAGTTAGAGAGTTTAAGATTAAGACGATTCACAAAAGAACCCATGCCAACTTACTACCATTTCAAATACCAGTTTGTATCTTCATGTGTCAATATTTTAAAATCTCTAAACTGTATCTTCTCTTGCAGCACAATTAAAGGATATTGCATATGGCACCAAACAATACAAATTTAAGCCAGAAATCACGCCAGATGACTCTGTGGATGAATTTGATGAAACCATCCACTTAGAAAGAGGTGAAAACCTATTTGAAATCCACATCAACAAAATAACCTTTTCTGCAGAAGTTTTCCAGGCATCTGGAGATAACGAGCCTGTCACCTTCTGCACCTACGCTTTCTATGATTTTGAACTACAGACAACTCCTCTAGTGCAGGGCCTTCACCCAGAGTACAGTTTTACTTCTCAGTATCTTGTCCATGTGAATGACTTATTCTTGCAATATATTCAGAAGAATACTGTCGCTCTTGAGGTGCACCAAGCTTACAGCACGGAATATGAAACCATTGCAGCATGTCAATTGAAATTCCATGAAATTCTGGAAAAAAGTGGTCGAATATTTTGCACAGCAAGCTTGATTGGTAAGTACAAGGATCTTGATGTTTGCACTACTAATTTTGTTTATATATTAATAGGGTGTTCTACATTAGTATGTTCTCTTTGAAATTAAAAGTGCCTTTAGGGTAAGGACACCAAACCAAACACTCTGCCATTGAGTTAATAGCCAGTCACCTAAACACTATCTGTGGTTTTTGAGACAGTAAATGTTTATGAGAGAAGCTGGACTCTTTGAAGTTCTGACCTTGCCGTTTGTAACTTGATAGCTAACCCCCAGTGTCACCAAGGAACTCCATAATTTAGTTGCTCACAGTTCATTAGGTTATCTGAATTGTAATTGATGATGTCAGTAAATGGCTTTTTGTGTGTACATGATAAAACACCCATTTTGCCATATTAACCATTTTTGCCTGTAGAATTCAGTGATGTCCATCCTGTGCAGCTACCACTTTTTCTAATAATTTTTGATCACCTCAAATAAACTGAGCATCCCTTCAGCAGTAATTGTTCAATTTCCCTGGTGACTAAATACTAATAAACTTCTGTCTCTATGCAATAAGATATTTAGATATTTTATATAAGTGGGATGATACAATATTTGTCGTTTTTTGTCTGCCTTAGTTCACTTAACATTTGTTCAAGGTTCAGCTGTGCTGTAGCACATATCAGAACATCTTTACGACTGAATAGTATTCCATTGTATGGATATAATACCCATTTGCCTAAAAATAAGGCCAGTTAATGTGAATGTTTTTCAGATATACACACAACCACTAAAGCCACAGAGGAAGAAATTAAAGATTTTTATCAATATATGCAGTCTGAAAGTTTTCAAACATGAAATCAAGACTCATTGATAATTACCGGTGATTAGAATGGGGAAGCTGGAAATAAATAAGAAGAATCAGTAGCTGGAAAATATGTTCTTGGTAATAGGAATGACAACAGATATTATGATAGACGTTTGCAAGACCAAGAACCTATTCATTGCAAATACCTTGTTCCCTACAATACAACTAGTTATGATCCATGTGGAATACACTGAAATCAAGTTGACTACATTTGTAGAAAAAGGACAAAAAGTTTAGTATCTGTCAGAGCAAAGAAAGGGGCCAACTGAGGAACAACCATCAGTTGCTCATATGAAAATTCAAGCAAGTTGAAGCAGAAGAAAATGAAAACAAATCCACAGCAGTCAAAATATTACCTTGAGTATTTTCCACCTGCTTTTCGGACCACCTCAAGAATATGTTTGATGTATTTAATACTAATGACCTTAGACCAGACAAGTTGTAAGATGATATAAGGAACATCAAAAGTGAAGAAAACAAAAGATCATTAAAAAGACAGGAGAAATGAAAAAGACCATATGGGTATCAGAAGAGACTGAAACTGAACATAGAATAGCTAAGGCAAGTAAAATAAATGAACTAAATTATCTGAATAGGTGAAGCAAAAGGGGCCTCTAGAACACAAAGCTTAATATTAAAATGAAATGTGCAAAGACCTAGAATTGGGAAACCAACAGAGAAGACACTCGGCATTTCTTAAGCTGAAAGAACTGAAGAGAAAATTGAATCCTCAAGTTGCAATATTAAAGGATTCTATGAGAAATATATTGAAAGTCTTAGGAAGTATAAAAGGAAAATGGAAAGAATATACAGAGTAACCATACCAAAAAGAGTTGGTCAGTGTTCACCCATTATAGGAGGCAGCATTTGGTCAAGAACCAATGGCATTGAAGAAAGAAGTCCAAGCTTCACTGAAGGCATTGGTCTAAAACATAGATACAGTCCCTCAATGCAAGAACACTTTGGTCTAATAACCTGGCATTCTGTGATGCTCAGCTTCCCGACACAATTGCTGAAGACAAAATGGGTGCATAAGCAAATGTGGTGAAGAAAGCTGATGGTGCCCAGCTATCAAAAGATA